ATGTAAGATTTGAGGCTTTCATGGCGGTGACTATGAAGAAAGCAGTCTTCTGGGATTTGGCACCGTGTATATGTGGTGTTAACACCACATATACACGGTGCCAAATCCCAGAAGACTGCTTTCTTCATAGTCACCGCCATGAAAGCCTCAAATCTTACATAGTGTTCCTCTATGGGGAGCCTACTCAACGACATCGGTTAACACCACATATACGTGGTGCCAAATCCCAGAAGACTGCTTTCTTCATAGTCACTGCCGTGAAAGCCTCAAATCTTACATGCATTGTCTTATTTTATAGGTCTTCTTGACAATTGCTTATGAGTATTAGCAAGATAAATTTACACAATTCTGTATCTAAGGCTTTTGCCTACTTTAGATGTAATGGAATAAGTAAATAATAATAATAATAATATCTGTTCACTTCCAAGAACAATGTGTTTCGTTTTCTTCTTCCTTGGACCTCCTTTACGACAAAGATACCAGATACCAGATATGAAATACCTACACATTATATATTTTGCTCGAGAATAAATGGAATTGAAAGGAAATGGGGTTAATCAAGTTTTCATATACGTTACAAATCGATAGCTTGCCGAATACTTCATTCAAAATTCTGGCATGGGGCACTGATTATTTAATGTACATGTAATAATAAAACGGACATGCAGGCTATATAAGTTATACCATAATCGGCACAAAGGAACAGGTTCTAACGGAACTACCAAACACTAAATGATTTGCTTTCTATTCGCTCTCTTTTCTGTGTTTAACTCCAAATGACATAATGAAACAAATTTATTACATTACCTGCAAACCTAATTTTGATGAGATCCAAGGGATGCAGAATAAGAGTTGATGCTACACCTCCCGATATGCCAGCAACCAAGTGCTCATACTTCACGTGACTTAAAACTGTTATTTTCCGACTTGGAGATGCACCTCCCGTCCCTTTCATAGTCGTCATTTCGTGTCCAGAACTAATATTCCTGCATTTGTACTGTAAAACAGATGCATCATGTTGTTCAGTTTGACTAGATTTATTTGTGACCTCCAGCTGTATTACTAGCACACGCTTTAACTAATTATACCTTATACGCGATAACAAAAAGCTTACGCAAATATCACCAACCTCTCCGACGCCATCATCCTGCTTCTTGTCAGGGTCACCACCACCAAAACTCAACATACCTCATAATCCTCACAATAATAAAGTACTAAACTGGCCACAGTGTGCATCACTTTCCTTCTGCATAAGTGGTCAGTGGTTTAGTCCTACGCTTCCAGTCTATGATGTGGTATCTCCCGCATTTTTAATCACATAGCTTACAACAGCAGTTTTCATTTGTTGAGTGGTAGCCCTTCGTTTGGAAAATATTATCATTGCTATGATGGCCGTGATTGTCATGCACTGCAAAATGTCTAAGATTGTAGTTTGACTTTGTCCAGTCCGATGTAGTTTCTATTGATCAGAACTTCTGTGGAGTAGAACTCGAAACATATCTGTTTGCCGTTCTTCTGTGTTATTAATTCATTTGCTGCGTTTGTTGAATGGCAAAAGTAGCTGGTATTGCATTTCTTCTGTTAGCAGACTTTCTTCTGCGAGTTTCGAAGAGTTTTATGTTGAAATTCTAAGGACTTTCTTTAGATAGGTTGCCATCGCGTATTATAACGTTTTTAGACTTTGCGATGCTCCCCTAGAATTCCCACGCCGTACCTCAAGATTGGTACTATTTGCAAGTCGAGATTCGTTGCTGTTACCGGCTGCTCTGAATATTTACCATACCGCGTATTTCGGACGTCACTTTCCCTTAATATGTACATATTGACAATCTTCCCACTAATCTCAAGGGTGATGCCTAGGTATTTGAAATACTTCAACGCACTTAACTGCTCTTGGCCGTAGTCGATTCTGTCTCCCTGCTTCATTTTCCTCCCTTTCCTGAAGACCATTTCGGTTTTATGTTCATTTGTAGGCTGTTTTCTTCCGCGCGCTGGATTATGTCGTCGTAAGAATGTTACAAGTCTGACTGATATTGAGGCAATTACCATGTCCGCATATGCATACATTTTACTATTTCTGCTGTGCCTTCGAATTGCCTTTAACGCATCAGAGGTCGCGTTGTTAAAAGTGTAACGGACTTAGGAGGGTAGCCTTGAAGTACACCACTTATTTCCCCCACTTCGTTTGACACGCTAAAATTGTTTGATATCATTACTATCCAACAAGTGAGAGCATTTGTATAATCTATGAAGATGACGTAAGACTTGTTTTTGACAACTTCACTGCATCCTCTGTATGTTCTGTATCATGTAGAAGGTTTATGACTGCACAGAGAGTTCTTATTCGTGGTCTGCAACCGAACTGTGCGTCAGGTAGGATGTTCTCAGTTAACGCTAGTCAGCCACAACAATTACATATACACAAGCGGTAACCTTGCTCAGTCTGGTATCACAGCGTAATACAGAGTCGCCAGAAAACCTGAACAGCTTATTACGAAGATAGGCGCAGCCAAGCTAGCAGAAGCAGGTGGGAATATCCCAACCATCTCAAGAAAGGAAGAACTTAATGAAGCTGTCATAGCAACAGAAGAGCTTATTAAATCTGTGGAAGTACCCGTCTCCGAAAAACAATCCAAGGTACTGCAAAACAGTGATTCAGCAAAGAATATTTTTAGAAAGAGTTTAAGAGCGCACTGATCCATGTTAAGAGTCCTGTATGTAGGCAGTCACTCAACAAGGAAGACCTGCAGAAATATTCAGCAGCACGCACTAAATGCAAAAGACAGCTGAGACCACACAAAAATACAAGAAAATTAATAGATGATGGGGAAGCAAACCATTTCCAAACTCACACTACGATGACCAAAATGCCCGAATGGAGTACCAATGGACATACGGGAAAATGATTTCAAATTGGTACTGAGTGCACAGCAACCAAGGAGACGTTTATGTCAATCATGTCTAAGCTGCACAAATTGACCTTTCATTTCATTGAAGAGGCGGTGGAGGGAGTTATAGCCAACCTAAAAGACAAGAAAGCCATCGGACCTGATGGCCTATATAGTGAAGACTTGAACGATTCCAGAGGCGAGCTATTAACCATGTGGACCGAATTATTCAACAGGTGTTGGAACTAGGAACCATACCTCAGAAATGGAGACATTTGATTGTGAAGTGGATAGTAGTCTTTGAATGGCGAGCATTCTAAGGATATCGTCTTGATATTTGTTCGCATCATCTGAATCTCCCTTTCCTTTGTAAAATACCTTGACAATCAAGAAGGGAAAAGAACAGGCCACTGAGAAGGTGTTTCTGTCACCCAGACAACACACAAACATTCAAAAAAGAATGACAAACCTAGATGACTTTGAAAAGGATGTTGTATATAGAAAGGTTTTAAAATATTATAACAAAGGCAAATTCCATACTGTCATAGAGTAACACTTGCTCTTAAAACAAAACACTGTGTACAAATGTTGTTCATATATTATTCACTCATTAATTAGTTCAGTTCTATTCCTATAAGTCCATTCCAATATTGGTTTCCTAACGCTGCTGCTATATGCATGCATACAGAACAACAAATCAGTAATGCTGCAGCAATTCCCTGTTCATCCTCACCAAACACTGAGAAATATGAATCCTATTATAGACACACTCGCATCCTAGTAGACTGTAATCGACCAGCATTCAATCATCATGACTTATACAATGTACGACGAGTATTACAATAAATGAGATTTTTAAAATGCCATATTATGAAATCATAGAGACATGTCTGGGATAAGGATAAAATTATATTATACTGATTAGAATTTGGGACATTTGTATTCTATGTGAGGAAGCAGGAGTTAGGGACACGCGCACACAGATATTTGATCACTATACGATTTACTACAAAGTTTTAAAAAATGTCTCTCCAGCTGAGGAATTGCAAATTGGTCCACAAACATGATTCAAATCAAAGTGATTTCAAACAACACACATATATACTATCTACCAGAACAGATGGTACTAGGACATACATTCCACAACTCTATTTTCAGATAGGTTAAATATGAAACAAACTGAAGTTTCTGTTATCTTTGCAATGTCTTAATGATCCTTCTACCTAATGTATGTAAGGGGTGGGCCATAAAAACCAGCGCCCGCACTGCGACCTTCAATGATCTATTGTGCTTCACCTTGGATTAGCCCTTTATTAATCCTACACTTTTAATAAAGTGTAGGTCTCTGCTTATGGGGCATCATAAAAGTCACTTGGTTCCACAAAAAACTGACCCAAGTGACAAAATCTTAAATAAGCTATGGCCTCACAGTCACACAGGATGTGTGTTGCTGATTCGTTTTCTTGTAGGCACCTTTCACAAGTTGGGTTATCTGTCAATCCTTCTACCTACATGCAGCATTCTTTTTGCCTGCAACAAGAAAGCTTTACACAGCAAAAGAAGGGAAGTTTTGGGCAGACAGAATTTCATGATATGAAGGTGATTAAAAAAAGTAAAGGTAGTTAACACACTGCACTCTGAAAACATCAGAATATGCCATCATCATGAAGTATACTGTAAAATAAGGCTAGCGTAAACATGACTTGAGTCTCCAGAATAAATGGTGTGTCTCGTACAGCCTCAGTATAAATGTCAGCTCTTCTTTCAGATCACATTATTGATGGAAGAAATTATATGAATTTTGCTTAAATAGTTCCAGACCTCATGTCATGTGACCATCACCTTTTTGCATCATTAGGAAAGCCCTGTGGGAATGCAAATATTCAAGACACAAATGATGGTTTCAGGAGCAACTCAGGCAGCATCGGCATGCCAGTGGGCCACTGTAATGAGTGTCTGAAGAAGCAAGAGGATTGTGATAAAAAAATAGGCTGTTTGCCTTTTGTAGATTTAATTAAAAAACAGGACTAAATTTCCTTCACTTTTTTAAATCACCTTATACCTTTACACAGGGAATTTAAAACACCAGTCTAATGCTTACATCTTCAGTCAAAATGACTGTTTATGTACTCAAACTATATGAATTTTTGGTCACACAGTATTCACTGCATAACGTATAATGAGAGAGACAACTGTGGCACGTGATTGGCAATACATTCTGAGAAACTACAAGAGCCTAATAAAACTGATTTTCTTGAAATTTGTTCGGTGAAAACGGGAAAAAGCGATTCATGCACTCCCCAAAATGATCTATGAAAGAAGTTTCCACATCCTTGTACACACATTATTTACCTTCTTTTTATTTAATCAGTAAATAATTTGCTTTCAGACTGTTGCACACATTCGGGATAACACCTAATTAAAGCTAGAAGAAAAGGTAAGAAAACTGGATATTTTCCCATAAAGGAAAGAAATGGTTTTGAACATAATGTTTATGTGCATTTACAATATAAATTTGGTTTTTTTTTTTCAGGTGAGATGGACACTTCATTAATAACAGGCAGTGAAAACATACATGTTACACACAACTTACACCTGAAAATCAAAACTCAATGAAGAATCACTTCCTCCTGCATACCTTGTACAGTATTATCACTATCTTAGTGCTTCCAACAGTCACAGCAGATCAGACAGTGAAGTCAGGCTGCAGAGCTTTGGACTGCTATCAGGACATACAGATCTTTTGCCACAGACTTTACAAATACACCTTGCCCAGATTACGGCAGATGCTGCAGGGTTATTACTGCTGCAGAATCTTCATGTGCAAGCTTAGCACTGACTTTGTCATCATAGGGGAGGGATTATCAAAATGTTGAGTTCACACTGGAAAGAAAGTGGGTAAAATCATTGCTAGGCTTCAACAATCTCCTCAAAACACCCTCAAACACCTTGCACAGGAGACCAGACTTAATCTATTTCCAAACAGGAACTTCAATGCATGAATGTGAGCATTTTACAGAGGTGCAAGTGTAGCAACACAAAGCATTTCCAGCATCTACTGCAATCTAGGTGACATACTTGCAATTTCTTTCACTACAGATCTGTCAGTTCCACCAGCAGTCCAAAGCTCTGTGGCAAGACTTAATGTGAAGAATGTCCCACTCTTCCACCCGAGAACCTCAACAATTTTCATGGAAACCTATAGTGATCACACTGTATTACATACTTGTACAGCCTCTTATGTATAACAGTACACAGAATGATGAGAAAGTGTGGAATGTTTCTCATGGGTAACACTAAAGACAGACTGTTTTGACCTGGAGACAGAGATGCAACAAAGAATATTCTTCATTTCAGTTAATTCATTTGCAGATATATAACAGAAACTATTTAAAAAAATATACAAACAGTATAC